AATGGAGGTATAGGGGATTGAACCCAGGACCTCCTGCATGCTAAGCATATATTGTACCACCGAGCTATACCCTCCCCCCCTTGCTTTATTGTTCTTATTCAAAAGTATTTTGGCTATTCAGGGTTCCTTGACATTTCATATGAGATTTAGGTAATCAAAGGCTTTTTTTTTGTTTGGGCTCAGTTTCTTTGGCAGTACAATTACCCTCAAAATATTTTTGGTGTATAAGTCAGAATTCTCCAGAGAAATACAACCAATAGGCTGTGTGTCTGTGTGTTTAGAGAAAGAAAGAAAAAGATTTTAATGAACTGGCTCATATGATTGTGGAGGCTGGCAAGTCCAAATCTAGCAGGTAGGCCAGCAGCTGGAGACCCATGGAAGAGCTGATGTTGTGATTTGAGTCTGAAGCAGTCTACTGGTGGCAGAATTCTCTCTTTCTTGAAGAAAATCAATCCTTTTTCTATTAAGGCCTTCAACTGGTTGGATGAGGCCCACTCAATTTATGGAGGATAATCTGCTTTACTCAGAAGTCTACTGATTTAAATGTTAATCTCATCTAAAATATACCTTCACAGAAATATGTAGAATATCTGACCAAATGTCTGTGTACTATGGCCTAGCCAAGCTGACACACAAAATTAACACAACAGGTTTCTATTCTATTTGCTCCTAGATAGTTCCATGTGACACCTAATCACACTCAAGTTCTTTCCTAGATAGAATTCTAAAGCTGATATATTTACTTCCTCATCACCCCCTTGCCTCACTGTCAACATAGTGGTGGCTACATTGAAGCCCTGTGAAACAGTAAATGAGAAGGCCACAGTCGTTACCTGATATTTGCCTCAGAGGTCATCACATCTTTCAACTCTTGTTGTTCAAGACCTTTTTCAATCTAATACAATTTATAGTCCAGAAGCAGTAACTTTTTCTGACCCTGAAAGGCCCATCACTTCTGGACTTTATCTATTTCCCTTCCATCTCTTCTTGAAAACCAGCTAATTCTCACCCAAGTTCACCTCTTGCTTCTAATGCTTCATAAAGGCATCTGTGCTAGTTAGAAGTTATTGTCTCTCAGCTCCAAACCCACCCTTCTACCCTCTACTATGAGATTCTGGAGCTGGGACTGCATATCACATTTCCGCTGGCTCTATGTTGGTTCTGCCAACATGGGCCACTAGAGGGAGATAGTGAGGTCAGAGAGAATGAAAGGACTCCTTTCTTCCATTTGCTTCCTGTTCCTGTGAAGTCATCCTAGCATTGCTCCTTCAGCCTGGCAGCAGCAGTGCTTGCCTATAGCCGCAGCTGAATCCACTTTGCAGTTTTCTCCAAAAATTGCGAAACCAGCTTCATGGTGTCCCAGTCAGAGACACCAACACCATCTGGGTAGCACCTCTTTTCCAGAAGTGTTGGTTCCTCCTCCAAGTTCAGAGACACCAGAAACCAGCACCAGACTTAGGGGTCTGAGTTTCAGCTCTGTAGGGCCCTTCTTCTAAGTTTCGAAATTTTAGTAATTTCAAACTCTTCCCTTTGTTTTCTCAGCCCTAGGAGTTTATAGATGCTTCCTGCTGTTGCTGCCTCCATGGTATCTCACAGTTTTCTTTTTACCCTTCCAATTATCTAGTTAACAACTTTATAGCCAGTTAATCATTCTAACCATTGTTTATATTAAATTTTCTCTGTCCAGTGACTGGTGTGGTTTCTGTCTCATTGGCTGGATTCTGCCTGATACAGTAATTGGTGCTAGGAGGGGCCCAAGGAAATAGACCTCAAAAGATGGGAATAGGGAACTCGTTTGGTTGCATCATTGGGTTTGAATGTGCTAAGCTCTTTGCCAATGAGAAACCTAATGCTACTGAACTGTGGCATGCTGTGGCGACATGATTAATCAGATTATCACCTGTGGTTATTTATGATGAAGTGCCAACTAAAGCAAGTGACTTGGGGGCCCAAGTGGTTGTTGCACTTGACTTATGGCTGTGCATAAGCAACAATATGTTGCATGTTGTAGAATTTCATCAATTCAGTCTTGAATTTAATGATGGGATCCTGAAACTTGGAATGGACACACCTGGTTTGACTCTTTTAGGTTCTCAGAGTCGCTTCCATTCTGCCAGCAGATGGGAAGGAGAGCAGAGATTAGCACTTGAGAGTTTTATGGGACAGACTGTAACTTCCATTCACATTCTGCTAGCCAGGATTCAGTCACCTCTCCATAAGAGAGGCTGGAAACTGTGGGTACTGGTGAGAATCAATAGTTTATGACACACTAAATGGGTCATTAGTGACATTTAAGGTAGAATTTTTAGGGGAGTGATGTAGAGGCCAAATTGTAAAAAGTTAATAAATGAATAAGTGACGAGGGAATAGTAGCTACTCTTTAATACGAGTAGTTAATAACAGAAAAAAAGATAAACCTGAAGCTAGAGGGAAGTAGCCAAACACACAGTTGTTTCTGTTGTTGGTTTTTTTGTTTAGTTTTGCTTTTTAGTTGATAGAGGAGAATTGAGCATGTATTTGTGGTCTCAGTGAACAGGAAGAGAGAGAGGACGTGAGTGGAGGGCTGGCCACGGACAGAAGGAGGCCCACATCTTTAAAATGAGGGGAAATGATAGATACAAATAGAGAGAAATTAGGAGGTAAACAGGAGGGAAACTGACAGTCAAGCTGGATAGTTTGGGTTTCTATAAAGTGACAAGCAGCAAGGAAAGGTTTAGGGGTTGCAAGACACCCAGTTGAGGTGGGACAAGAATCTTACTGGAAACAGTATGTCCAGTTTTGTGATTTTTGTTCCACAGCCAAGGGGCAAGAGGGGAGGAAACCCACAATGTGGTTCATTCCAAGGTAGGGCTTAAGAAATCCAGAACTTTGGCACCAAGGGCATGGTTGGATGGCCTCTGGCATGTGTAACAATTAGTGATCCCTGGGGTGACCCCACTGCCCTTCTACTCCATAGTGTGTGTTCCAACTTCCTTCTTACTCTATCCTATCCTAGTCTGTAGCTCTCTCTTTTCCTATACTTCTCTTTAGGTTTCCAGTGACCCCAGTGTGGTGGACAGACCCTAAGGTGAGCCTCAGTGATTCCTGCCTCCTAGTATTTACACCTTTGTGTGATCCTCTCCTCTTGTGTTCAAGTGGGACCTGTGACTTTCTTCTAAACTACAGAATATGGTGATGGTGTTACACATATAACAAGTTACCATATATAGAATGCTGGAGCTAGAGACTCTCCCTGTGGGCTTGATGAAGTAAGCAGCCATGTTGGAAAAGCCCACATGGCAAGGAACTGTGGTGACCTCAAGGAGCTGCAGATGGCCTCTGGAACCTCAGGGAGGCCTCCAGCTGACAGCCAGCAAAAATCCCAGGCCCTCAGTAAGATAGTCACAAGGAAGTAAGTTCTGCCAATAAAACCTGAGTGGGCTTGCAGGTGAATTCTTCCCCAGTTGGGTCTTCAGACAAGCATGCAGCCTTGCTAAAACCTTGATTGCAGCCTTCTGAAACTAAGCAAAGAACCCAGCTAAGCTGTGCAGCAGCTCCTGACCTGGAACCTGTGTGATATAATGTGTGTTGTTTTAAGCCACTAAATTTGTGATAATTTGTTATACAGCAATAAAAAACTAATACACCCAGAATTTCTGAAAAACACTGGGGCCCTATGGCTTCAGCCCTGAACTAGGTGATAGGAAACCTGGGTCTGGGGCCAGATCACAGAGCTGGGTGAGGGAGGACAGAGGATGTGCCACACATACCCCTTGGGCACTTAGAGCTTCAAGACAATAGTTAACAGGCCCTTGGCTGTCAAAGCAGATTGTGTTCCCATTCCTACCCCTGCCTGCCCCCCCCCCCGATGCCTGTCCATTAAGTCATCAGAGATGGGTGAAGACTGGAAATACAGATTGCCAGAAGTAGATCGCGAAGTCCGCCTCTCAAATCTCGGCGCTTGGCACGGTGCCCCGGATACAGGGGACGCCCAGCAAACGGTTTGATTGCAAAAGAACTGAAAGAGTCGTGGAGCGCGCATCTGCTGCCGCGTCATTGTGCAGAAGCGACCGGGGCTGCAGGGGACTGGTCAAGGCCCTTCAGCGGGTCAGGACCCTGCAGCGGGTCAGGACCGGGCCGTGGGGCCGGAGCGCC